AAATTAGTAATTGTTAGAGTCATATTTCTAACCTTTTTAAGTAATATTTCTCTTAGTTTCATTCATTTGTAAACAACAATAAATACCAAAATGCATTTTTTGTAAATTGTTATGATGCACTTAGTATCTAGTACCTAGTAGCAATGTTAAAGTATCGAATAGATATAAAAAACGATAATTTTTGAAATTTGTATTAAATATATAATTTTTTTAAAGCTGAAAGAAATGTTAATACTATTTATAATGTGTGCAGTTTATTGTAGTACATACAGAGCCAACAGAATTTCATGGTCTACCCTGTTTTTTGATGATATACTAAAATTATGCCAAAAAAAAAATTGGCCTACGTAAAGCCTTTTTGATTCTTCATAAACAAACAGGGTTTTAACATTTTTTTATTCATAAGCTGGACCAATGGAGGGGGGAGCAAAATTAAATATTGAAACTTAATCGGTTACCATACACGTCTGTTGAAAATTTTGACCTAGACCACTTAAACATAACAAAATCCTTTTGTTTTTCAGCGTCAGATGAGTCTTGGGAAGTTGGAGCTCGTAAGTTATTTTCTTTGTTTTACTAAATGAATCATACAAATCTTTCCAAAGTATACACTGAGTAATTTGAAAGAGTATTATTTTTGAACGAACTGTTATAAGTAAGATACACATTTTTTAAACCTAAACAAATGTTTACAGCACTTACAACCGTTTATCTCCACTACTTAACTTTGAATTATTTCTACTGGATACTAAATATACAGTTTATTATTACCAACACAACGAAAGTTAATAACTTACTACAAATGTACACAGTACACTATAATATTATTTTTTTGTACGTACAATAAAAGGAACTTAAATGTACATATTTTTTTTTTCAATATTACAGCAAATGAGAAAAAAAGTAGGACCTGAACTACCAACCCTGGAAGATGGACAATGCTATTAAACTTCAAGTTAAATTATACAGTTGACCAAATTATGTTCACTGTTTAACTTAAGTTTTGTTTACTGATTATAAATTATACAGTTTATCCTTACCAATAAATCAAGCGCTTTACGCAATATTATATTATTTTAATAAAAAACTTACCGTGTTCATGCAAATAATTAATAAAACATTCAAATATAAATTTAAAAAAAGAGTGTTTTTTTTCAATTAACATAACATAACCTAACCATATTGCAAAATGAAAATTATTAATTTGACGAGAACCAGTTTAGCAGATCGCACGTCAAATTAAAAAAAAAAGACAAGGGGAAGTTATAAAAAAAAAAAATTTGAATTAACACAATTTTCTGTCCGTGGTACTGGACGTAAGCCCGTTTATTAAATGTTCTCCACTAACACGAGACTAAAAAAAAAGTAAAAATAAAATAAATATTATTGCGAAGTAGGACGGTTTGGGACAAAGAGGATGGAATCGAGTCTAGAATAGAGAGCTTGCGGATATTCATTGTGTGTCTAAGTAAAACTTTAACCGTCGTAAAATAATTCTAAATACTAGCTAGATAATATAATTTATCTAACATTTTTATTAACAATTTTACATGTATACATTCCATGGTTATATGTTGGAAAATGCTATTATCACAATATTATATCATATTTTTTCAAGTATATTAGGTAAAATTCCAAAAATTTGCTTGTACACTAGAATGGCCCTTTTTATTAGAACATTTTGTTGTTTCACCTATTGTTTGCATTAAAAACTTTAAGTAATTTTGTTTGTTTGATTTTTAAACGCAATATCAAACTAGAGGTGGGTCTTTCGAAACTAGGATTTGAAAAACAATTATATTTTATACCATTTTATATTAAAAAAAGAAAAACAAACCAAGAAACAGATGTCTAAAAAGAAACATATTACAAAAACAATACTTAAAAATAAAGAACTATATTATTCTATTATTTTTTTCAATAATTCTTAGTAAGCCGTAAAATTTTAGTTGTTAAACATTTTTTAAAATTTTTTAACAGAGTCCGAGTTTAACTTCAATTATCAATTAATCCTAAATAATTCTTAAGAACATACCACGAAAGTTTATTATATTATGTGAGATTATATAAATCTTGATCCTTTTAAAATTATATGCATTATAATAGACCTTATCTATTATACATTTGCTTACATTTTTTAGTTAAAGTAATACAACTCTATTGTATGATATTGAAAACAACTTGTTATGGTTCGATCTGTAAACATTACCGACCATCTGTTGTATATATGAGCAAAATTATGTTTTTCATAGAACATAATAACATTTCTAAAACTTAAGATATTATTGTTTTATGCCTAAAATATTATTATTTAATACAATTATTATATTCTAAGTAGTGATTATTTCTGATCTACAATATCCTTGCGATTTATGATGATTATTCAGGGTGATTTGTGTTTTATCATTGGCCACTTAATATCTCATAGTATTTAATATGAATTACATTTTTTTCCATCTATATTATGCAGTTGTTGCCATATACACAACAGTTGGTCGGTAATGTTTACAGATCGAACCATAACATGTTGTTTTCAGTATCGCACGATGGTGATATATTTTTTTACCTGAAAAATGTTTGCACATTTATGATAGATAAATTCTATTATAATGATGCACATAATTTTAAAGGAATCATGATTTAAGTCATCTCACATATTATGACAAACTTTTGTGGTTTGTCTATTAAAAGTTTTAATAGAAGCTAACTTACCACCACTCTACTAATATTATAACGCGATTTGAAACACATGATTTTACACATTTATACAATGGTCGGTATTGTTAAATAATATTTAGTTGTAACGGTCTTGGTCGACTATCCCCGTTCTTTTCTTAGACGGGTTCTTTTAATTAAAATGTATTCTTTGGTTAACGGTATTGTAAAAAAAGGAATATATTATTATTTAATTTTTTATTCAAAAAATTATCTCATCTGGAAACTATGTAAAATCATTTTATTCGTATTTAGCAGCTTATAATGCTAAATCATCGAAAAGTGATTTTATAGAACGCATGTTTGTTAAAAAGTATACAAAAAAATTATCATTGTCTTAAAAAAGGAAAAGATCTTAATTGAAGCTAAACTCTTACTCTATATAAAAATAAAAAGTAAAATTTTTTTAACTAAAATTTTACGGCTTACTAAGAATTATTAAAAAAAATAATAGAATAATATAGTTCTTTATTTTTAAGTATTGTTTTTGTAGAATGTTTCTTTTTAGACATTTGTTTCTTGGTTTGTTTTTTTATTAAACTTAAACTAGTATAAAATAAATTTGTTTTTTAAATCTTAATTCGAAAGTCCCACCTCTAGTTCGGTTGTGCATTTAAAAACCAAACAAATAAAATTAGTTTTAGTCCCAGGGCGTATTATTTAATTTTAGAAATGTTTTTTATTCAGTCTAAAAACAGGTCACAGGTGTAAATTTTTAAATATTTTTTTGTATTTTGTAACTATTTTGTAATTAAAAAAATGAAAACTTAATCTAGGATCTTTCATCATTTTTTATTTTTTATTATCAACACAATTGTCATAATTTATATTATAATTTAGACATCTTTTTCTTTTTTAAACGCTTGTAATTAAAATTGAGTTTATGTTTTCCAAAAAATCCGACTAGAGAATCTAGTTAAATTTTTTCTCTTTTTAACGATATTGAAATATGTTTTTTTATGACCATTTCGCTTTGAAGTACACTCTTTTCAATAAACATATCTTTACGATTATCTTCAAAGAGTATGACGCGTCCACTTATACTCAAAAAATCGTATATTTCTTTAATTAATATTTTACGTTTTGCAATATGATTAGGTTAGATTATGTTAATTTAAATAAAATACTCGTTTTCAAATTATAGTTAAATGATTTATTAATTATTTGCACAGCAAGTTTTTAATTTGATTTTATTCAAATAAAGGTGTACATATATGGCGTGAAGCGCTATTTTTAAAAGAATTAAGATTATGCTTTATACAATATTTTCTCATATTCTGACTGTTCGGCGGTTGCGCGGCTGGTTTTGCTGTAATATTAAAAAAAAATATGTACAATGTACATATATATATATATATATATATTATATTATATTTGGGTTCCTTTTATTGTACATAAAAAAAAATAATATTTTAGTGTACTGTGTACACTTGTAGTAAGTTATTAACTTCCGTTATGTTGGTACAGATAAACTGTATATTTTGTATCCAGTAAAAATAATCAAAGTTAAGTAGTGAAGATAATTTAGTCAAACGGTTGTAATTGCTGGAAATATTTATTTAGGTTAAAAAAGGTGTAACTTATAATAGTTCGTTCAAAAACAATATTCTTCCAAATTACTGTAAAGTGTATGCTTTGGAAAGTTTTGTATGCTTTTTTTTAGTAAAACAATGGAAAAAACTTACGGTGCTGATTTTTGTGGTGGATTAGAAGCTGTAAAAAAAGAGTATTGGTGAGTGATGAAATTATAAATTGTTATAATTGTTAAAGTTAGGTAGTGAAGATAAATTAGTCAAACTGTTGTAAATACTGTAAACATTTAATTAGTTTTGAAAAATATGTACCTAATAGTTCGTTCAAAAACAATATTTTTTCAAAATAATCAGTGTATGCTTTAGAATGATTTGTAAGCTTTTTTTAGGAAACAAAGAAAACTACTTACAACTTCTACCAGAGCCGCTAATCTTATGTTTATTTTCAGAATCAGACCCAGACTCAGACTCAGGCCCAGATCCCCCTGAAAAATAAAGGATTTTGTTATACATTTATACGAAATTCCAAAAATTAAATTTATTTAAATACCTGAGAACTTTGTTACAATTGCTACGAGCAACAATCCATTGTACAAGAAACGCATACTTACAACATATACAAATGGTCGTTTGTCTATGGGAAGTAACTGGAATACTAGTAGGCACCAGTACTAGGTACTACTAGTAGCTACTAGTAGTAGATTTTTTTGCTTTTTTTTTAGTAAAACAATGAAAATAACTCACGCGATGGTCGTCGTCGTAGTATTGATTTTAGTGGTGGTGGTTGTGCTGGTGGATCTTGTAGTTGATTAAAAGCTGTAAAATAAAAGGATAGTGGTGAGTAATAAAATTATAAATTGTAATATTTTGGTGGTTAATATTTATGAAAAACTTCAAAAATTATTTTTACTTAATACACTCGAGTGCTTTAACATTGCTACTAGCACTATAAAAATGTACAAAAAATGCATTTTGGTAAATATTATTGTTGGCGAATGTAAGAAATTAAATTAGACGCTCCTTAACTGTTTGATACACTAAGTTGAGATTTTGACTCTGACACTTATAAATAATATATAATTGCGTTTTGTAAATGTTATAAAGCACAATAACACTTTCGTATCCTATAATGATCGAAAGAATAAAAAGAAACGGTTTGTCGGTATGAAACAAATTGTCAACATTTTTAAGTCATTATTATTGTTCATATTATAAATACTATAATCGTTTATTTATGGTTAAAAATATGTAATAGGTAATTCGTACAAAAAAAATATTCTATAAAATTACTCAAGTGTATGCTTTGAAATAATTTGTATGATTTTTTTAGTAAAACAAAAAAAAAAACTTACGTTGATCTACCCAAAACCCAGTTTCCGCTGAAAAATTCCAAAAATGTACAAATTACTCAGTGTATGTTTTGGAAAGATTTGTATGCTTATTTTTAATGTTAAACAATAGAAAGAACTCACTATGTTCACTAGTTTCAGTAGCTGGAAAAAAATAGAGTATTGAGTAAGGAAATTATATATGCCTTATATAAGTATAAGGCATTCATTTTTCATATTATAAAAACTACATTTATTTATGTTGAAAAAATGTAGAAAGATTTGTCAGCTTTGTTAAATAAAACAAAGAAATTAACTCACGATGTTTTTTATTCGAAGACTTTTTTACCGCAGCATCTATAAATGTTTGTTTTTCGGTGGTTAATATTTATATAAAATTCAAAATCGAAGCTAAAATGATTGTTATTTAAACTCTTATAATTTATTAAAATTTATTTAAGTTTAAAATATGTGTAATTGATAATTCATTCAAAAACAATATTCTTTCAAATTACTTAAGTGTATGCTTTGTAAAAACAATTAATACAACTCACTCGTGGGTGGTACTGGTGGTGCATCCCGAGATGTAAAAAAAAAAAGGATAGTGGTAAGTAATAAAATTATAAATTGTTACTCAAGTGTATGCTTTGGAAAGATTTGTATGCTTTATTTTAGTAAAACAATTTATATAACTCACTAGGGGGTGGTACTGGTAGTAGACACTGAGCTGTAAAAAAAGGGTAGTGGTGGGTAATAAAAATATAAATTGTTATATTTTGGTTTTTATTATTTATGAAAATTTTCAAAAATACCACCAAAACAATGTAAAAAATACATTTTAGTAACTGTTATTGTTGGTAAATGAAAGAAACTAAAATAAAGGCGCCTTAACTTTTTAATACACCGAGTTAAGATTTTGACTGACAATTATAAATAACATGTAATTGCGTTTTATAAATATGTTAAAGCACAATTACATTTTCGTACCTTTACATAATTATTGAACAATTAAAAAAAAAATACAGTTTGTCGGTATGAAACAAATTTGCAAAAATTTTTAAGTCATAACCACTACGTAATATTTGTTAATAAATGGAAGTGATCTTAAATATGCAGACAAAGGATATAATTATAATGACTAAATCGACTTTGTTGACCACCCTACTGTATACTCAAGGACGAAGAATTAATATTGTTCATATTATTAATATCATAGTCAGTAATTTATAGTTAAAAAATGTGTAAATGATAATTCATTCAAAAATAATATTCTATAAAATTACCCCAGTGTATGCTTTGGAAAGATTTGTATGCTTTTTTTAGTAAAACGAGAAAAATAACTTACGTCTTTCCCCAGGCTGATTTTCCACTGAAAAACAAAAGAATTTTGTTATATTTAGATTGTAATTATACATACAAAATTCTAGAACTATGAAATTCGAGTTATGTGTACACTTGTATGATCATCACCGGCCGATTACGGTGAGACCTTCTATTGACTCTAATGATGAGACATAATATGTAATTATTATAAATGATGTAAAAATATTTTTAGGTTTAAATAATGTTTAAAAAAAAATACTTTTAAATTAAATTGGTGTACGCTTTAGAACGATTTGTATGTTTTTTTATTTAGTAAATAAAGAGTGTAACTTACAACTTTTTTCTTCCCTAGACCCAGATCCAGACTTGGATCTTGCTGTAAATAAATATAATAGAAATATTATAAACATTTAATTAAGTTTAAAAAATGTGTAATTGATAATTTGTTCAAAAATAATATACTTTCAAATGTTTCAGTGTACACTTTGGAAAAGTTTCTAAGCTTTTTTTTTAGTAAATAAAGAGAATAACTTACAACTTTTTTTTATCCCACACCAAGACCTAGGCTCAGATCCCGCTGAAAAACAAAACGATTTTGTTATATTTAGATGGTTATTATTTATACGAAATTCCAAAATTTATATTTATTTAAAAACCTGAGAACTTTGTTAGAACTGCTACGAGCAACATTACAATGTACAAGAAACGCATCTTTGACAATATATAAAAAATGACTGTCGTTTGACTTTGGAAGTAACTGTAACACTAGTAGTTCCCTACTTTTTTTTCTTCTTATATTACCCGCGAGTAGTGTTTTGTTAATACTAAAAACCACATGTATTGTAAGTTGTTTTTTGTTTTTCCCTATTCCTCAGAAAATATTCATCAACATTTGAATACATAATCGTACTAGAAGTGCGTCTTTGGAAACACGGATTTACAAAAACATACAGTTGGAGTTTTGAAAAAATAACTTACTTAGAAACAGATGTCTAAAAAGTATCATGGTACAAAACAATACTGAAAAAAAAAACACTATATTATTCTATTATTTTTCAATTACTCATAGTAAGTCGTAAAGTTTTAGTAAAAAAATATTTTAACATTTTTTTGAAATGTTTAAACGGAGTAAGGGTTTAGCTTCAATTAAGACTTTTAAAGAACAAACCACAAAGGTTTATTATATTATGTGAGATGACTCAAATCTTGATCCCTTTAAGCTTATTTGCAGTCAAGCATTAATTTGTAGTGCGCATGAGTAAAATCGCATATGGCCTATACATAAAAATATAACGGAAAAAAAAAACTAATCGAATATTTTGCATTAAAGCGTGTACACCTATTATACCTTAACTACGCGAAAGTCTAATATAAAAAAAAACAAAATTTGTTTTCATAATTCCCATCAAGAATATAATATAAACGAAAAAAGAAATAATACGGACAAAATATTTTAAATTTAAAGTATATAAACGAAAATATTATTATATTATGTTTAATGTCATTATTCTATTACATTAAAAAATTAATGAAATATGTGAGTTACCATTTAAGTTTTAAAAGTTGCTATTAAAAAGTCAAAGTTAGAAGGGGGGAAATCAAAAAAAAAAATTTTTAATATTGAGATCACATTGTATAAAAACTACATGAAAAATTAAATTAAACCATATGAGATATTGAGGGTTACCCTTGGTAAAAGAATCTCCCTGTATAGTATATTCTTAATTGTATTTTCTGGCCAATCTTTATGAATGATGACGATAACTGGTTATTATTTCGATTGCATCTTATGTTTAAAATAGGAGAGCTACTTTAGTATCGCAATCTTGTGTCAAAATTAAAGGTCGTTTTAGGGCTGGGGGGCCAATGCTAAAGTATGTTCCATGCTAGAATAAAATATGATTAAAATTAACATATATCAAATTCACATTGTGATATTATCTATGGTGGTTACCATATTATGGAGACTTGTTGCCATATACTCAACAGTTGGCCGGTAATGTTTACAGATAGAACCATAACAACATGTTGTTTTCAATATCGTACAATGGTGTTATATTTTTTAACTGAAAAATATGTGCAAATTGTGTAGTAAAGCACAAAAGTCTGAAAATACATTTTAAAAGAACATCTGCAGTGACCCTATTACGATAACATATTAAATATAACACCATTATACGATATTAAAAACTATATATTATGGTTCGATTTGTAAAATATACCGACCAACTATTGTGTATATGAGTAAAATAATGTTTTTCAAATCACATTATAACATTTCTAAAACCTATGGTATTATTGTTTTATACCTAAAATATTATTATATAATAAAATGAATAGAGATATAGGAAAAAAACAATACTCCAGTTATATAAAGATACTAAGAATGCCTTCGTTTAATATTACAGCTTACTTCAGTTCTTAGGAGTTTTTAATGAAAATTATTAAGGTTTTTAAAAAATAATCCGGTTTTATACAGTTTAAAATTGCGAGTCAAGCATTTAATCATTTGTTTAAAATAGTTTTAATTTCTTCTAATCATTCTTATCATAATAATAAAATGTCAATTCAAATAGCCGACGTCCCGCCAGTCGCCTAATCGTCTCTTCCATGGGATTCGTATAATACATCTGGCTCATAGACAAGCATAAAGGCGGCTTGGGCAGCGCGTGGCGTTGGCGCGCGTTTTTATCATGTCACAACGTTATCGTATCAAATAATAACGGTGACGGCGTGTGTTGTTTTTATTGCCGAGTTTGTACTTTCCTTAAATTAAACGTAAAATTATTATTATTATTATTAATTACACTGTTGTTCATTGTCATACGTGGTTTTTTATTCAATAGTGTTTCCCGGTGTGTCAAACGTTATCATATATATAATAATGAAAATTAAAAACGGCGAACGGCGTGTTTTGTTTTTTTTGGTGAATTTTTGTCTTTGTAGTTTGTTATATTATATACATATAATTATATATTAAACGTATAATAGTTATTATTAATTACATATTTGTCCGTAATTCGCTCACGGTTTTCGTTCAAGAGAAATCGACGTGTTTCCCGGTGTGCAAACATTACCTATTAATATGCGTCGTTGGATGTCGGTACGTTTTTTAGATTTAGAATATATATAATAATATATAGTATAGTAGTATATTACATTTCGCTTAAACCAAATTATCAAATTAATTAGATGTACAAAATTCTTATCTTTTTCAAACCGCTGTGTGTGGTGATAACGATACATTTCATATTTTTTGTTGAAAAATTTGTTGACTACTATTTATTTTCAACTAAATAACTTACTGACTTATTTTATATATATGTAAATTATTTGTTTTAGGCCAATACTATAGTGAAATCATAACCGACGCGTGTCCGTTTAGAAGATTGATTGCTACTTCTATCTACTCTGTCTTTAATTAATACAATAAGTAGTTATTATTGTTACCATTGGTTACAGACTGTTATCCTATGCCGTCACCGATTAATTTGCCTGCGGCCAACAGAAAACTTACACCGTAGAAGTTCATTTTTTGTTATTTATGAAGTATTTTTTAATAATTAGTGCCTATCTAATCTCTATACTCAACCCTAATTTAAATTGACAGTTTTTTTTTCATTATACAGTGTCTTAACCGACTTCTCTTAACGCTTTAGTTTCTTAACGTGCACACACATACGATACTAATGTACAAATAATTAAGACATTAATTATTTCAAATTTTTTTGTTAAAGCTGTACAATTATGATCACTACATAGAATAAAAATTATTTTAGTTTTTTTATATATTTTTTTTTAATGATATATTATTTCACGTTAAATTGGCATTATTTGAATATATTTTAATTATTTCATTTAGTAGGATGATTTACCTATATAAATATGTATGATCACTATCGAGTACTATCACTAACCGTTTGGGGTTTTTAAAATTGTTTTTTGACTTAATTTGTGGTTTTAATATTTTAACTTTGGAAAATTCATACATTGTAGGTAAGCTATGTGGAAATCAACAATTCAAGCTAAGAAAAATCTAATAATTGTCATTAAAGTTGAAAATATAGTTTGTATTCTTTGAAATTGACAAACATATAACTTTATTTTTTTAAATCATGTATCTGATTTCACTTTCCAGATAATTTTTTTTTTAGGAAGTATTATTGTAAATTATTTAGTAGAAAAACATTTATTTACCTATCTAAAAATAACATAATACATGGATTAATTAAAAAAAAGTTTATTGTTGTTAAAATAATAATATATATATATAATGAAAAATATTTTTTTAAATAATAATAATAGTATATTTGATGCACTGAATAAAAATTGTTCAGATCTAAAAACAATCGATTTTTAGTTTTATACACCTGGGGCTACTTTTGTGTGCTTAAAATTTATATACATTATTGACATAAAATATCTATGTGTTCATTCCGCTCTAATAAGAAATAACTGTATTACATGATCTAATTTATTTTAATCACATTATACATAGCAACATCTTATGCTATTGTAATCATTCCGGTTTTTACTCCCTGGCTTTATAATACTTATTTAACCAACGAATAAATGCATTTTTACACAGTCTTATTATAAAAAATTATAGGTATGTTTTTTAAAAGCATCAGCAAAAGTCCCTATATCATCTTTTTAAATTCTTAAAACAGTTGTCTTTAGATTATTTTAGCGTTCAACATTTTGTGTTCTTAGACCGTTTTTGTGAGTAGTAATCAAAAATCAAAAAAATTGTCTGAACATTTATTTTTACTAACTATTTAATGTTAATTTTTTATATTATATGTATGTATATATATATATTTTTTTTTTTGAGCTGCTATTGATATAGCTTGAACTAAATTAGATACTTATTAATATTGACTATTTTGTTTTTTTTTGTGGTGTGATTTCAGACATAGGGCATAATTAAAACATAAAAATAAAATATTAATTTCAAATCATTTTATTGCATTTTAACATTTTGAAGCATGGTGGTATAAGTAATATACCACTTTTTCAAAAAATAGCCTACTCTCGCGCAGTGGTATATATTTATTACCACCTTCATAATCATGTTCAGAGAAAATCGGAGATAAAAATGCTGTGCTTCAAAGGGTTAAAATTTATATTGAAAATCGACATTTAATTTACTATTTTATTATTTATAGAAGTATAATATAAGTATTCGCTCCACCCTAAAAGAGTATAGTAAATCTATAGATTTTGCTATATTTTTTTAAATTGATACTACATAATAAAAAATAAAATTATTTTAAAATTTTTGATTATTATCATTTAGTAGGATGAATTGTTGGTTAGCCATCTAAAAATATATCAACATATGGATTTATACCTTTCATGGTTTACTTAAAAAAGTATTAATGTATATATCAATTTATCTATTATGTATAAAATATGTCTGGATAAGTATCAAATAATTTAGGTATTTTATGCACTGAATATTATTATTATTATCATTTTGTACTCTGACCGTTTTTATAATCACCGCCGGACACTCGAATAATCAAAAATATTTGCTACAAATTATTTCAGACATTTCATTCATGTTTTGTACTCTTGAGTTCCCAAGTAACCGTCACACAAACATATCATTCTTCCACACTTTTAAACTTCTAATAACCAACAAACGTCAGACCTTAAGTATCAAAGTACCTTTAGCATTAAAGGTCCAGATCCAAAAACTAAAAGATTTGCATCGAGACATTTCATTTAACCTCTCTTTGGACATTTTTATAAGCTCTGCCAAATAGTCGATCAATAATAATGTATTTATCACTCTTCACTTCTTTCCCTTTTAAGTTTTAATATAAACTAGACATTTCATTCATGTGATTTACTCTTGAATTCTTAAACACTTATGAACTTCTGTTAAACCACCAGACCTTTAATATACATATTTAATGCATTATGCTGTTGGTTACATTCTAAACGTACAGTACGTCATTACCGAATAATGGCATAGACGGTGATTTCTGAACAAATAAGGATTTTAATTCAACCAATATCTAGACATATAACGTATACGTTTGAAAAAGTTTTGTTGCACATAGGAACACCATATCAGACATATACAGACTGACCTCTAAACATTTTTTTCTATTTTGAACCATAGCTATTACCAAGCCCGTGAAGTAAACAACACCTCAAACAATTCAAATTAAAAAAAAAAAAAAATTGTCCTTTAAGCAAGCAGCACACTCGCTTTAGTAGTAGGACGTTTCTGATCTGACAGATAGCTAGACTTGCACTACAGTTAACCGGTACTTAGCTTGCAAAACACTTTTCCGAAACTAAGTATGAACTATGATTACTGGATAAAGGTACGATGAATTATAACGGTATACTTTAAAACGTAGTGAGCTGACTCGACACCGTGGCCGGCGTAGCCGGGCACCCCCTCGGAACCGCTGTGTACAGACATATAACATACTACGTTTAAACAAATTTTGTTTCACAAAGGCAAACCTTAACAGACATTTAGCTGACTGTCCTCTAGACATTTTTATCTGTTTTCAACTCATAAAGTTAAGCGGGATGACACCGGCCTATATTGATGACGTGGTCTATAATATAACAACTTTTACCAAAGACAATTTCCATTATACACTTTTTCCCAATGGCCAGCTTCTTATCAAGCCTCTTTAACTTTTTAAAATTTTAATTTAAACTTAATTTTAAACCTGTTACCTCCTCATAGAGTGTAGCCTACAAACCTAGGATATTTTTAGTTGGCGGAGCGAAGCGACGGCGCCGAGCGAGCGAATGCTAAAACACTCGGAGACCTGCCGTCCTTATTAGTTTTCAATACGAATTCCGCCTGCTGATAAGGAACTGGACATTGGTAGTTCATACAAATTGGTAAAAGTGGTAACAACCCAAGTAAGCAACACCGGACACTTGATATTTATTAACCGTCTAACTTCTAGACTATTCTTTTCAATTTAAAATTTAAAAAAATTACAGATACATAGCTAGACTTACTCTACACTTAATCAGTACTTAGCTTGCAAAATATTTGTCCATAACTAGGTATGAATTCTGATTACTAGATACAGCCTATAGGTACCATGAATTATGACGTCATTCCTTTAAGACGTATTGCGATGGCTCGACACCGTGGCCGGCGCAGCGGGCACCCCCCTAGGAACCGCTGTGCACTGACTTCCACATACCGTGGCCGGCGCAGCCGGGCACCCCCTCGGAATCTGTGACCTCCCCGAAAATACTTTGCAGCGAGGGGACGTGAGCGTGCCCGGCGTAGCCGGGTACAGTACCGGGAATCTGTGACCTACCCGCCCGACTCGGGGGCCTGGGGGCGGAGCCCCCAGCTAGAGCGAAGCTCTAGTATTATCAATAAAATAATATGGTCATGGGGCCATTTGTGTGGAGTAAGGCAAAAAAAAAATAGAAATAGAATGTTATACACGGTGGTTGTTTGCAATTTTTAAATATCTAGATTTGTCTCAAAAATCATCAAATTCCAATTATTTTTTGTTGGCAAACGTTAAAGCCACTTATGAACAAATACAATTATCGTAGCTTAGTATTCGAATTCTATTGATAATTATTGAAGAATAAAAAAGGTAAACATGTCTTATACGCACACACAACCAAAATTAATAAAACATATCATACTAATAGCAGTACCGTTTCAGTTTCAGAACATATCTTAATTATATAAGATATAATTTTAATTATTTAATTAAATCCTTAATAACTATGTTTAATTAAAAAATGATCAATCATAATTTTAACCAAAATTCAATAAACACATAATAATAATGATCATTCGACGAAATTGAGAGGCTGAGCCTTTTCCAGAATATGCGTGCCATGGCATATTATTTAATATTAAAATTGTTTTTTCAAAATGTACAAAACCGGTTTATTTAAAAAAAAAAAAACCTTAATAGTTTTCATTAAAAACTCCTAAGAACTAAATTAAGAATATACGGAATCATTTTATATTAATTAGTATAAATAGCATTAGTAAATTAATTTTCTTATATAATTATATTTTAGGTAAAAAATAATAATACCATAGGTCTTAGAAATGTGTTAATGCTATTTGACAAACACGATTTTACTCATATATACAACAGTTGGTCGCTAATGTTTACATATCGAACCATAACATGTTGTTTTCAATATTGTACAATGGTGTTATATTATTTTAACTGAAAAATATGTGCAAATGATAAAATCTATTATATTACATATTATTTTAAAGGAATTACGATTTGGGTCATCTCACATAAAATATTAAACCTTTGTAGTTTGTCCATTAAAAGTCTTAATTAAACGAAGCTAAACCCTTACTAAAATTAAAAAAAAAATATTTTCAACTACAACTGTAGGTCTTACTAAGAATTATTGAACAAATAATAGAATATTACGATTCTTTATTTTTCAGTATTGTTTTTGTACCATGATACATTTTAGACATCTGTTTCTTAGTATGTTATTTTTTCAAAACTCCAACATGTTAACATGTGTTTGTAAATCCGTGTTTCAAAAGCGCACTTCTAGTACGACTATGTATTCAAATGTTGATGAATATTTTCTGAGGAATAGAAAATAAAAAAAAACAACTTACAATACATGTGGTTTTTAGTATTAACAAAACTCTACTCGCTGGTAATATAATAAAAAAAAAAGTAGGGAACTACTAGTGTTACAGTTACTTCCAAAGTCAAACGTCAGTCATTTATATATATTATTATAAATATAATATATATAATATCATAACATATTTTACAATATATT